TTTTAACTGAACTTGATGCTACTCTCATAATGTTTCAGATTTATCCGGAGGAGAAAATGAGAAGGACTCATTTTCCTCCTTTCCAGTTCTAGAATTTTCATTCTTGGACCCTGCTAGAGTAGCTTCACATCATTCAAACTTTATTTATGTTTACACTGGGTCAGAGTGCACGCCCATAGCTGCTTTCCCTTTAAGCCATCCTTTGTCTCTGATTGGCTGCCCCTCACAAACATCAGGTTTGAACACCTTTGCTGAGGATGGCTTCACTATTCACAATATCCTCTCCCTATGACATGATACAGAGCCATAAGTAGGGAAAAGAGTGTTAGAAAGCGAATGCTTGGAGGTTAAAGTCTTTTGGCTCACAGGGATATGAAAAAGTTCTGAAAACAGGAGTAAAGGTAAGGCTTTAAAAACTTTGTTCATGTTCAATATGAGCTTTCACTATTGTGGCAAATGGAAAATATTCCCATGAAGACAGGGTGCTATACTCAGTGAGCTAAAACAGAGTACATTTCTATTAATATTTTTAGTACACCGCTTCTTTTATTGTGTTATCCTTATGCTAATGTGCTATTTCTGTTGTATAGCATTAATTTATTCAGCAGTGCTGGTTGACTCTTTATAGTTGCTGATATTTTTTCCCTCTTTTATTCATAAATCATGTCATTATAAAAGTCTGTAAGAGACATCCTTCCCCAAACGATTCTTCCACATCCGCTCTTTTCTGTTAGTATTATCATCACGAAAGAGCCATAAGAGTAATTTGAAGACTCCACTGTTATTTTAAAACCACAAAATCACAATTTCACAACTGGCTCCAACACATCTGAACACTAGAGAGCAGGTGCTGGCTTTCACTGCTCACAGCCTGTTACAGATGAGCGTGAGCCACTTGTACGATCAGTGTAGAGCGTGACTGTGAATAAAAAGTTAATGAAAGCCATCGCACAGATGAAGCACTCCAGGAGGGTTTCACGCATCCACTTTGGATGCGCAAAAGTTGATCTGGAGTAGCTCTAGAAGTTGTTCCTGATGTCACTAATGCAGAAGCAGCGGAGGTGCAGGCAAAAGAGGGAAACCAGGGAAACTGGTCAAACCACAATATGCAGTATGTGTGCAGGAAAAGCCAAAGGGTCACGTGTGAGTAGTTCACTTCAAACCATAATAATGAAGATTTAAGATCAGTCTGAAATGGTGTCATCTAAATATATAATTTTCTGCCTGTCTTGGAGCTCAACCTTCCAATCAAGCACACAAATATATAATTTTCACACAAGTGTATGAAAGTTTTCACACGGTCAGTAGTCTGAGTTTTTTTCCTTTTTTTCTTTTACTTTGCTGCTGCTAAAAAGTAGGGTCACCTTTTTTCTAAAAAAATATGTGTTTTCCTCCATCCTGATTGGAGTAGCATTAAGTCATGTGACACAAGTTTAGGATTTTATTGAGACCTATGGCGGAAACAAGTTACCCGCAAAGTTTACAGAGACATACTTAAAGAGGAGACATCTTCATCACTCATCAAATCGATCTTAGAATTATGTGACATGAAGGCTGGAAGCGAGTCACTCGTCACGCATCGCTTTGAAGCTGACGGCCTTTCGCTTGAGGACAATCCAGGTTCTGGTTGCCTAGGTAACCCTCTAATGTATTTACTACCAGGCCGGATGTCAATCATGGGCATTCATGACTCACCGGTCATTCAGTCTCACCCACTTCACATTGACAGCAATTATTTTCCTTGTAGTCGCTCAAAATCATCAAATATTATTTCACCTTCTTTGGCCTCGTGTCTCTGCAATTCACTTCCAGTGTTTACGCAGCTTAATGTTTGGAAAACAGTGGTTGGTGACCACAGCATGACCAAAAAGCAAAGCAGCTGTGGAACTCTCTACCCCCGGACATAAGAAACATTGGTTCTCTCCACTAGTTTAATTCCCAACTCAAAACCCAATGCTGCATATTCATTGTGAACCTATTGTTTGTTTATTTATTTTCTGATTTTTTGTTTTTATTGTTCTTCATTTCGTCATTTTTCTATAATATGTTTTATTCTATTGTTAAGTGTCCTTGGGTGTCTTGAAAAGCGCTTTTAAATAAAATTTATTATTATTATTATTATTGTTATCATTACAAAGTTGCTGCAGGCTTACAACTGAACTGCAAAATTACATAGAGTTTTGGCAACCTTGCATTTAAGTAAACAGAACACAACCAGTTGAGTTGAGTCCCTTGCTGCAAAGAGTCACCTCGCAGACGAGTTGCACTCATTCCCTATTGATTGCAACATGTTGAGAGCAATGCAGTCAGTAATGTTGTCTTGTTTTCAAGTGCACATTAATGAAGCTGTGATATGAAGAAGTGTTTCCACCCTTATGTTGAGACAAAGTCACCAGATTTTTTAAACTGATTTAAGTGGTGATTTTACACATGCAGTTCAAAATGATTGAAGTAACCCACTGGTCCATCGGTGATAGTGAAAAGTTGCATGGAATTATATTTTAAGCATCATAGGCTTTGAATGTTTTGTTATGTTATTTTCCACTTCTCAAATCAAATCAAATCACTTTTATTGTCACATCACATGTGCAGGCACACTGGCACAGCACATGCGAGTGAAATTCTTGTGTGCAAGCCCCACAAGCAACAGAGATGTGCAAACACAACAACACAAAC